GAGCGCGCTGCAAACGCCGCTGGGGAATCTGCGTGCGGGTGGTTGAATGAAACCAGATCTGAGGAATTCGGGGGAGGGCGCGCTACTGTTTACTGAAGAAAAATGGTCGGCAAAAGACTACGGATTTTTTGCGGAGAATCGGAGACATGGCCATGTACGGTTAAACAGGGTCGTAGAGATGGCGATCGTAGGAAGCGTATGTAGTTACGCAAGACCAGTGGCGTAGACTTTACATTTTTCCGGGGTGGGGGCAGGCTGAGAAGTTCTCCGGGGGGGAAGGGGGTGCTTTTCCGCGCAATTCTTTTACACCGGCAATTATCAGTAGTTAATTTTAGGCGGTACCTTTTACAGCGTATGTATACCGCCATGTGTCCGTCGCTGTGTGTCAATGTCAATCACCGTGCAAGCGTAGCCGTGTGTTTGTCGTCGGTACCACGGCGCGTGCGCCGGCGAGCACAAATCTGAAAAACAAAATGCTTGTGGCAGCTGCCAAGTTGTGGGGGTAGAGCCCTGGCCTCTGTGCTTCTGAAGCAGTAATCGACTCGGCCACGATTCTCTTCTCTTTAATACTTGGAAATGAAGCCTGCGGCTGCAGAATATCACATGCCACTACTAGAAGCTCGTTACATGGCACGTAAACAGGGTCTCGGTAAGGATCATGGCCCAGGGGTGTGCCCTGCCCCGCCCCCCCCCCCCTGGATCTCACCAGGGGGGCACAAGCCCCAATGCCCCCCCCCCCCCCCCCCCGTAGTCTACGCCTATACACAAGACGTTTTGCTCGGTCTTTACCCGTTTGGCAATACCGCGCAAGTATTGTTTATGAGAGGTATTACATGGTTTTAGTAGATGGTTCCAATACCTCCGATACTCCCAATAACTATACCCGATAGCGACACGATGTGTGCGGAAAGGTGGCGGCGGAATATCGGGTATCTTTATCGGAGTCATAGGAACAATCTACTAAAACTCTCCATTTATAGCAGCCTTCGGTGACCGCTGATGGTTCTGTGCAAGTTGTAAGATAGCAAGGCATTGCTATCGGCGTGACCGATGAAAGAATGATCGCTTAATCCGCGCCGCTTGTATGATGCCAGCCGTGATCCATGGCGAGTGCTTCCGTTTCAATGATCCGACGGAGCTAGGAACACACGCTTTTTATATGACGAATAAAAAGTCACAACTCAGGTCGTAGTTGGGTGACCAGTCGGAACCTGTGGTGGTCATACACCATGGCGCCAGGGAAGAAAGCTGAGTCATGTGATCAAAGTCAATTTGCCGGAACCTCCATAGCCTTCGCACGAAATTGCCTTTGCGCGGCAAAGGGATTGCGTAGTGAAGCTCCATAGCAGGATGGTTACCGTCGTGGAGGCCTTCAGATACTTCAACAGTTTCAAGGCATGTCGAAGCGAATACGATGTGAAGAAAGCTCGGTGCCTCGTCACATTGGCTGTTGGCAAGCTTGGAGCAGGCTAGCAGGGGTCGCATTCTCGAGTAGGATGTTATCGGAATGGTCACGGGGGACAGGGTCCCCATAGAAACACCAATCGATGGGAGTGTTAAAGTTGCCGCAAAAAAGAGTATGCTATGGCGGACTCCAGGGTTACGTCGAGTAGTCGATACTCTTGGGACGTGGGCGGGCAGTAAATGAATCCCAGAAAGTATGTTCCACGAGGAAAGAAGACCTCGACAAAAAGTGATTTGAGGTCCCTGTGCTCGTTATCGGACTATTATTGAACTGGTGACAGAAGTTAAGCAAATAATAAAGTTTTGTTTTCTTTTCTTATCAATCCGTAGGACGGAAAGTGCGCGCACCATGTTGCGAAGAGGCACGAACGTCATACGGATTGAAACTTTCGATTGTGTATAATGTTGAAATGGTTAAATTAATGCTTCCGCTTAACAGTGGAAAGAATTCTTGACCGCGATTTATTAATTTCGAATTCACAAATATATCTAAAATGTTAATTTTTTACTTGCCGATTAGTTTTTGAAATTAGAAGCTTTGGCTAGATGGCGCAAGCCGCCGCCCGTTTAAAACGGTTCAGCGCCATTGATCCATACGATTGACGTGACGTCATTCCGGGAAGCTTTGAGAACATCCACCAGGTGCAATTCGGTAATCGTTTGACTAGTCAAATAAAATTGTTCTGTTTATTTAACAAAAATTTGTGTCTCTGTGGTGTTTCCACAACATAGTCAGCAGTTGTATAATAAAAAAGGAACTCAGTTTCCATTTGCGTGCCCCTTCAATATTTAGTGTGCTGTGACCTAAAAAATGCTTTGTATACGTGAAACGTAAGTGAGTAAAAGCGCTCACACCAACGTAAACGTACTAAATAGGAAAATTTTTGGGAGAAAGGCTAAACAGTATTGTATTTCATAATATTATATACTAAAAAAAGACGGAGTATGTAGGTCAGCTGCTGATAGTAAATCATGATGTTTAAAACCCAAAAATTCTTTTCCTGTGCCTTTTTTCTTACTTCAATGTATACCTCACCACAGTCTCGGGTTTTAAATAAAATTTAAAAGTTTTAAATATAATGCTTATTTTTAGTTTAGGGTCCACTTAAGGTCGGTGAGAGAATATAGGCATATAATAGTTTTTCGTGTAGGTCATTCGAACCTGTCAAAGCTTTTCACTGAACTATACTGTGCTTCGACAAGGGTCACAGTCTCAGACAAAAATTATTTTTTTTACAGCTATTTTTTCTTTCTATTTTTCTTTCCACTCATGCTTCAAGACACTTCGTCGTCTTTGCTGATTCATGCCTCTGATTCGGTCATAATGGAAGCTCGTGAGGTCAGTGTCATCTCACTATACAACAGTAGCAGCTTTGGCGACCTCCGGCTAAAGAACGTCGTGCGTCCGACAGATCGTCTATTCGCGTAGCGCTGCAAGTTTGAGACATACTACACTGTAATTTATTGAGGACGTTTGAAAGTTGAATGAGAGTCTACGAAACGCGTTTCTTTATCAACCGATTCTTAAAATGACCTAGAATAGAAATGCTCAGGATGCAAAATTCAAATGTGAAACATATTTATATACCGAAATGAATAATAAAAACTCAAATTGTAGAAGTTTTAATAAAAGCTTTATTGATGAAAATACAGATGGCTTCTTCAGTTATAGCTCGTGAAGCTTTGATTAGAAATTATACAACTTCACTGCAAGTAAACCAGGCGATGAGCATGTGTATGCATCAAGTCAGAAGCTCATTTAGTTACTCTGGCAATTCGCGATCCCTAAACCACCATTCCTGCTGCGTTTATTAAAAGCAGATGCTACGTATGAAATATAGCAATTACAACAATTATCAAATCTGTGAAGTGCACAGACACTAGCGGGTAGCTTCACGAATTGTATATGTTGCCTAAGCTCTTAGAAAGCCCATTCTAGAGCCACGTCCTCGAGACCGGGACTCTTTGTGCCTTGCACAAAACCTCCAAGAAGGAGATTACAAAATTAAAATTTCTGAAAACAGTAACAATCCAGCATGTATTAAAAGAAAAAAAAAAATTATCTATTTCCTACGAATAACGTTTGGAGACAGATGGTGCAGCGTGGCTCGAGCTGCGCTGGTCGTTTATTTAAGAGCTCCTTAACGTCGAACGTGAAGCTAAATTTGACGGGAAGCGTTTCCCCGCTAAGTCTATAGCGCTAGCAGGAATACTGAATTGGTGTATAATTATATACCGATTAAATTTCGTAAGTTCACTAAATATAGCGCTTTACACTTTCGCACAGCACGTTTTTGCGACGACCTTTTCTTTTCCGAAACACATAGAAGGAAATCATGCTTCAAACATACCGACAATTGAAATAACAGCTGTTAGACGCCCTTCTGTAGAAAATTCCAGAGACCGTCGATTTCGAAATTTTTTGCCTATGGATTGCATTTTATCATTGCGTCTGCACCGGACTCATAGAACACCATAGCAATTTAAGCAATTTTCGCAGCATAATCTACTTAAGAAGCTTAAGTAACTTCAGCATTCTTTGGAACCTAAGCAGCTTAAAGGGCAACTCCTGTCCAAATTTTCGAATTGGAGATTACGACTGTTTTCAGCCCCTGCAGTCTCCCTGATAAGGAAGTATATTATTTTCTCGATATTTTTTCAGCCCCTGCAGTCTCCCTGATAAGGAAGTATATTTTTCTCTCGATATTTTGCTTAGTTTTCTAAATATCGCGATCGAAGTTTTGTTTCGGACGTCTACGCCAAAACCGAAACTATATATCTGCTAGAGAGGTTCAACACTGATCATCAGCCGTACGGCTGCTTCGTGACATTACCGTGGTGCTGCGGCACGCGATACAACGTGCGGAATCACCCGCAGCTTCACAGCGACGTGACGTCACGTGGGTGCGCCGCCCAGTGTTCCTTGACAAAAGCTAACCCGCTTGCCACCCACTAAAGAGCAGCTGGGTGCATCTCTAAAAATGATTTTAGTGGAGTACGCGGCTTCACTTTGACGTAATACTTCGGCTGGGATCATAATTAGAGAAACTAAAGCGATACTAGTCATTTATTTTGGTTTAGATTCCGACCGGAATTTCCCTTTGAGTAACTTAAACAGCCTATGCTACCTAAGCTTCTTTTGCGTCCTAAGCACATTATGCAACCTAAGCAGCTCATGCAACCCAAGCAACATAAACAGGTTTAGTCACTCTAATTAAAGGAGCACTAAAGTGTTTTTTTTTAGATCGTCTATTTATGGCGCAACCCCAATCAGCTTACCCTAAGCACCCTTGAAAATCCTACATTACAACCGTGCGCTATACTTTACCCTAATAAAATGCGAGGCGACGCGCCCCCTTTTCTGAGATATCTAGAAAGAGGGGTGTGTCATTAATTTATGATTGTATTTCTAATTGCATAAAATGTGACGCGTGATCACAATTATATATTCAGAGACGCAGGGCGGACGTCGATTGAATTATTGTCGTAAAAACAAAATCTCAAAATTTACTTTAGTGTCGCTTTAATTAAGCAACTTAACCTTTCAAACCGAAATTTCGTGGACCGGTTCCTTCGATGATTTCGTTCAGGTAAGCGGTGACCGCCCCGAACGTTTCATGCAAAACCTTGCCGCCCAAAAGTGGCAGGGGGTGCTTTGTCGCGAACTCCATCTCTTGACAGATGGTGGAAGCCCTCAAGGTACTACCTCCGTGCTGAAAAAAGTTTTCCTGCGGATCCATGCTCTCCGTTGTCCTGGTGGTGAATTTCTGCAAATAATTTTGCGAGGGTTACAAAATAGGATTTTATGTTTTCGTATAAATTCGAAATCCTCGGAAAGAAACCCATTGGTCAAATTTTCGTTAATCCCGATTTATCGGATAAACACCGAGTCGCGACGTAAAAAAAAAAGTAAGAAACGTAAAGCACGGATTTAGGCCAAGCATTGGCCACTGTCCGGCGATGGTCCTTGTGGACCCTTCCCGTATGAATAGTTTGATCGCTGACCTCAATTATAGATTAAGATGTCAATTTTTTTACCGTGTCATCCCCCTGTTTTCGGAGGCAGCGATGACGAATGCTATCGGCGAAAAGTGACTCTCATCGATTCTATCTCCTTGTTTTGAGTGATATGGAGCTCGAATAAACGCCGTATGGATTACCTTCGCAACATATATCGTATGTATGCTTTGTTATTATTATGTCATTTTTATTCCGACACGGCGGTGCGTCAACACTGTCGACGCGATGCATGTCCAACCTTCCCTCGCCGACTGTCACGTCAGTAACGGGCTGCAATCGGAAAATATCGGTCCCTCTCTCCCATCCCAACAGCGCGAATCCAGTACTAGGATCAAACGCACGCGTACGCTCCGAGTGTGAACAGGTATTTACGTGACTTTTGCTGACGCACTCGTAGTTCAAACTTATCTTCTTTAATGTCGGCTCGCTCCTGCATCTCCGAGGCCGCGAAAAGCGCCGCAACTATTCGTCTATATCTACGCATCTTTGCAAGCGACAGGCGCGGGTCGTCTTTTAAGAACGATGGCAGTAGTGGTGACTTTGTAGCGATCGAGTTCGTAGCCTTGGACGAAGGTGGCTATACCGGCCTCGGCATTCGGCCCAGTTCATATCGTGGTAGCGTCGACATTCGGACACGAACCCCAGACAAGCATTGGCGGAAAGGTCAGTATAGAAAACATGTACAAACTCGACCACCTGCCAATCAAAGCCCCCAAGGGGGCGGGGCCAGCCGCGACCCATCACAGAGCCGCAGGGCGGGGCCTCTTCCCTCTCTCCCATCCCAGGGACCAATGAAAGGGCATGGGTGACCAGTGACCAATCGGAGCTCGCCCGGGTCACTGGTTTGAAGTCACACGCGTACCCCGAGGTACGCCTGTGACCTCAAACCTCAGACCTCAACAGCAAACCTCTAACCTCAGGCCTCAAACCACAAGCGTGGTTGACCAGGTGTTGACAGCTGCGGTCATCATCTGATAAAAACCACCTCAGACCTCAAACCTCAGACCTCAAACCACAATCGTGGTTGACCAGCTGTTGACAGCAGCGGTCATCATCTGATAAAAACCACGGGATGTCACAGGGTCTGAGCTTCATTCGACAGAGGGCGCTATAGGACTTGAATTGCGGCGCTCAGGGCGTCTCACGTGTGATGTCACAGGGTTCGAGCTGCGTCCGACAGAGGGCGCTCACATGATGCCGCACATAACGTCCCTGGATATTTTTTCGTTTTTACAGGTAGCGACAACTTTCCTCCTTTCCATCTACGATTCCTCTTTCCCCCAAAATTTTCTCCTCTCTCTCTCTAGCGCCGCCATTCGCTTTCTAACGTCAGACGGGAGGGCGGTTCCGCTGTGTTGTTATGTGGTTACCAGTAGCGTAGTCTTCCTTGTTTTGGTAATTTCCAGCGCGTGAAATTAATTTGGATATCATCGGGTTACTTACGTGAATCGAAGGTAAGCTGTTATTTCCGCAAAAGCACATATATATATATATATCAATATTTTGCCGCAATCCCTATCATACCGCAGCGAGAGCTTTCACGAGCAATGCTCTCGGCGATGCTATAGATATGCGCGCGCCTGCGCTACAATAAACTATTTATATTTGTAATAAAAAGAAATGCCTTGTGAAAATTTCATTCCGTCGTCGATAGAGCCGCATAATTAAGCTATTGTGAGAACTCTATTTTGTTTGCAACCATTCTCCCTCGTGGCGAGCGTTGGTAATGCTACGCAAACGTGTGCACGGTGCAGACGCAAACGCGTCTGGAACTCATTATTTTGGGGTGTATCTATACATGACTTCAACACGCATTTTGTTATAAGTACTAGTAGCAGTGTTTGGATGGAAAACAAACGTCGTGCAAAGCAATGACCTTGACGAGTTTGGACGGTGCGAGATCCGTGCGGATGAATTTACAGCACTTAACTCACCAGTCCCAAATAATATTTGGGGTGAAGTTACACCATCGCACGTGTTATCCCCACATACTATAACGGGCAATCTCGTCCTCGAACCTCTAGTGCGGAGCCGTGTTTGGTCTCAAATAACTCTGTGAAGGATTCTAGCTGGCAACTTTCGCTGTTTTTGATAGCTGGATAGCATACCTTCAGCGAGCAGTGAAGAAATGTTGCGTACAACTTTTATTTTGCCACATTGAACGGTGAATCCAAGACCAATTTTATTAGATCGCGTTCAAGGAATTCGTTAATAACGTGTTTAATGTCTCTGTCTACTTTTTCCTGCCTAGCTTCCGCTGTAACATCCACTTAGATATTTTTTTTAGACAAAACCCCCGAGACTGGGGGGAAGGAGGGACAACACAACACGAAGCACATGCATTGTGCAGACATTTCTGTTTATTTCAGCTCCTGTCGTGCGATTATATATATATCTCAAAAGATAAGTGTTCTACTCCCACAAGCTCCATTATTCCTCAACTTCGCTTTCTATCCTAGTTCGGACCACAGCTCTCTCAAAAACAGATGGTAAGCCAAAGAAGCATGAAAGGCTTTTTGGGCTCATATTGTCCTCGGTAGTAGCTTTTCGTGTTTCCTAGAGGTTCACTGCGAGACACTCACAGCTGAAGCGGCCAATCGGCGGCTTCATCCATTCATATCGTGTCCCTTAAAAACTCAGCTTACGCGAAAAATTTTGCCGGTGAACAACCGGGTTTTCGAGTGAAAAACAACAGGCTAAAACGGCAGAGCACCGATGCCGCATTTCAGCTGAGACCGAGTTCGGCAGTCAGGCGCGTCAAGAAAAACATTGCATGTGTACCTATGTGAACATGTGTGGAAGAGGTAACTAGCTCAGAAATGCTCATCTCACAAAGTTTGCTGCTTCTGGTAGGGACAAAGTTTTTCCTCCCAATCATCTGGAGCCACGCCTTCTGCCTCTTCAGATCGGCTTTCCGAAGCGGAACGGCGAACAACTTTTTTCCATACCAGAACTCTGGCTGCACCCAAATGCGCAACACCCCGTCACCTAACACATACGCTCACTACTTGACTTGCCTCATAACGGTCGAGAAACACCAGGTCGTCGAGCTATAGTCGTCGGCGAGTATCACGAAACACGCGAGCGGACGGAGCAGCCGAGCAGCTTGGAAGCAAATGGCGGACGGAAGTGGCGACAATTCCGGAAATCACGTGACATCGCTCTCCTCCAATAGAAACGGATGTCGGCGCGGCAAAGAATGACGGTACTTGTAAAACGCAAAAAACATCGAGGGACTTTAGCCGCACAGTGTTTGTGCTGCATCCGAAAGAGGGCGCTGCGTTCCGGTTTCATCACGGTCACGTGTTTTGATTTTGAATCGCTGGGCGGTAAATGCCCCCTTTATTCGATAAAGGGGGCTCCGCGGCCGGCTGGGAATCGAACTCGCTACTTCGTCCACAGCAGGCCGACACACTACCCCCTAAGGTATGAACACATTGCTTCCGAGACCGCTTAAGTCGTCTTAGTTGTTCGTGTGTGTGTGTGTGTGCCATTCAGATCACGTGATGTCCCGGGCGCCACTTGGCTTTCTTAATGCGGTTAAAAAACCGGATGCGTCATTGCCGCAGGTCATGTGACCATGGTCGTGTGATGTTGCTCGTCTTCCTATCACGTGGTTTCGCGCGCGCGCGATTCAAACGATGCTGGCGGACTCGTCACCTCGGGAATGACTTTCGTAATCTGGGTAAAAAAAAAAAAAAACACCTTCTCCTAATTTGAACGCGTCTTGCTCCAGGTCATGTGACGAAGCCTATCTACAATTCCGTCATGCAGGATCAAGTCTAGACAGGTTTTGAAATATCTCGAGAGCTCGGAATGTTATTTCCTTTTTTCATATGCAAATGATATACATTATTTTGACGCGCCGCTCGTTTGCTTTTGTTTATTCAGCTGTCGCACTAGGGCTGGGAACGTCGCTTATGAGCCGGAGATCCCACAGGATATGAATGCGTCAATGCCGCAATTCATGTGACGAAGGTCGTGTGACGTAATATTATTTGCATCGCTGGGCGCTAACGTTGCTCGTCTTCCTATCACGTGATTTCGCGCGCGCGCGATTCAAACGATGCTCGCGAACTCGTAGCCTCGTGGCGCCCCCTTCGTTGTTGCATTTGGGATATTTGACCCGCTGAATTTCGGCGTCATGTGACGGTCCCAAATAGCAGCAGCTGGGTCCCGCTAAATTGAGGTTGATGGGAATGTAAAATTTTGAAGCTCGCGGACCGAGATTGATGTTGATCCTGCGTAAAGCTTTAAAGTGGCCCTGTTAAAATTTGGGGCAAGCTCGTAAAACTTTGCAAAGACCCATCGAATATTGGGAATAGGCGCCATCTAGTGTTCAAATTGTGAAGTGGTCCTCTTCAAAATTGGGTGCCATCTGGTGGTAAAAGCTTCGACCCGCTATAAACTTTGGACGTCATGTGACGGTCTAATTAGCATCAGCTGGGTGTAACTAAATTGGGGGTGAGGGGATTGTAAAACTTTGAAGCTGGCGGACCGTGTTAAATCTTGGTTCAGCGTAAAGCTTCGAAGTGGACCTGCGTAATTTTGGGGCAAAGTCTTGAAGCTCACAGACTGCGCTGGACCCAGTGATTTGTTTTTGAATAGACACCATCTAGCGTTAGAACTTTGAAGTGCTCATCGCTGAAATCGCTGACATCTGGTGGTAAAAGCTTCGACCCGCTAAATTTGGGCGTCATCTGAAGATTTTCTTAGCACCAGCTGGATATCGATAAATTTTGGCTGG